TCGAACAAAAAGAAAAGCGAAAACGATAAACGACAGCAGCGATGAGTACACCCATGGATCCTATGACAAGATCCTTTTTTTTTTTTTTTTGTCGAAGTATATACTAGGGGAATATTTATGGCAAAGCTTACAATTTTGCTCAACAGTGAAACAGTTGATTTGAACTGTTGAATTAATTTTGTAAGAGTTAAATTTATATACGTTCACGTTAAAAATTTACAGTAAAGATATTCTTATTATATGTTATAATTAAAAAATTAATCAAATAAATACACCATTTTTACGGGCGGAATAAATTTCACTTCAACATGAAGACTTTTTAGAGAACGTTGAATTTATGAATTTAAAATTATAATTTAAAATAATTTTTAATTTATACATATTTTTTATAAAAAAAATATATTATAATGAGTTAAGATTCATAATTTGGATTATAACACGAATCGCACCATTAATATGATATTCCGACTATTTTTCACTGTGACGCTTTTTGATTAATTAATGCCAAGAAGCTATGAGCCTATCGCTTAGCTAGTGAATGCATGCATAAAACCTAATTTAAAGCAACGAGAGGTTTGTCGGCTAATGAGGAAGGTGCTGTCACTTTTGATTCCCTTGCAAAAGCTGTTTGGCGCCGCCGTCGACAGTGAGTCATCCTGTGACTCTGAAAATTGGTTAGTTGTTTCGCTTTCTCACCTCCCAAACACCGCCATTACCATTTATTTGCATGAATCCAACAATTTCTTTGATTTGTTTGTGTACTTTTCACATATCAGCACTCGAGCATTATTTAACACACACGATTACAGACACGCTTATATTTTATGATATGATCGTTAGTCATATGTTTGCTAATTGCAATTCTTTAAACAACTTAATTCATAGCATATTAGATTAAGAAAGATTATACGTTTCAATGGCTATGGTTATACATATCGTGGCTGACTCTTGAATGATCTCGTCAACCAATTGTATACTCTACACGAGACGTGACATTTTATGATCACTTAAATTATTACACATGATTGTCACTTACTATGGTTATTAGGATTAATCTCATAAATAATCTTTAACATTTTCTCTCAGTTTTATTTTGTCACTTGATTTTTAAAACGTCTGGTTCTTGAGAATTTACTTTCTTTTAAAGAAATTTAAGTTATCTAAGTGTAAAATATTTAATGAAATTTGGGTAAATTAGAAACAAAAATTTATAATATTTAAAATTTAGAGACTATTTATGAAAATTAACTTTTATTTTTTGTATTATGTTAGTTTGAAACTTAAGATGTTTTTATTTTTAATTTATAATTCTTTTCATAAATTTTATTGGATATATTTTTGTTACAATGAAAGTGGCGTTAATGTTGCCATGGTTTTTGATCACACGTGCTCCATTCACTAGCTCATGTGCTCCACAAAAAAGGTGAGCGTCTCTCCTCCACCAAAAGGAGAGGAGCCCGTGTTCTGTCAAGAAGAGAATATCAGAGCGTATTCTTTTCACCGTTTAGGACACAATTCAATTTTTTGAATTTAATAAAAAATATTATAGTAAAAAAAGTTGAATTTAAAATTTTATGAGAAAAAAACAGTAATAAAAGAATTTGAGTAATGGTTAAATTTAAGGATGTAGTTAAATTTTAAGTTACACAGCTTAACTCATTCTAAACATAAAATATAATTTAAATTGTGAGTTTATTAAATAAGAGTTTAAATTGTACTCATTGTTTGAACTGAGTTAAATTAAAGTCTCATTTATTTTATCGATTTGAGTTTAAAATTTGAGTTTTGTTACAGTAAAAAACTTTCAAAAACAGTAATATCAAAATTCATATAAAATCACGTATAAACTCAAATTAAAAACTCAAATAAATGAATTAAACAAATTCTAAATTAAATTAATAAAATAAACTATGCCCTTAATTTTCTCGCACGTGATTGATGACATACTAATTATAGTAGAAATATATTTCGAATCGCGTCTCCATTAAGGGAGGACAGTCAATTCCAAAGAAGGAATAAATCGTTTCATTTATGTCAAAGGCAAACTCCGCAATTAATACCGGTCATCTATTTTAAAATAAAAAATTCTCTCATTTTGAGAGATCAAGGCACACTTTTTTACAATATAATTTGAGTATAATTTTTGAGTTGAATTTGAGTTATAATTTGAGTTAAAATTGTAACTTGAATAATGTTGAGTAAAATTGAATAAAATTAAAACTTAAAAGAACGTGAACTTGAATAAAGTTGTAACTCGAATTGTCTTTTTTTAAATTTTTTTGATAAAAGAACATGCCATAAATAACTTTGTCATTTTCTTGCAGGCTACTGTAGTGCCGTAGGCTAATACCACGTTCGTGCCCCTTTTCTTTTACTCTTCTTCTCCTTCTTAGCTCTTGGCGTTAATTACGTTGTTGGTTAAAGGGTATGATCGGAGTTGTGAGGTTTTTGTTTTTGTTTTTTTGTTTTTGTTTTTTTTGCTGATCGGAGTTAAGATGTTTGATCGGAATTAAGATGTTCGATCGGAGTTGCAAGTTCAAAGACGTGTTTCTAACCTTGGACGAAATCTTGCACTTCATGCATCTAAATTTTTTCAGCTCGATATCCTCTATTTTTTTATTTACATTATATAATGAAGGTGTTGACATGAAAGTTGTAATGTTAAACCAATATATAGGAGCTGTGATTTTTATTTTTTATTTTTTGACCATTAGGAGCTTTGATTTTGAGTCGTGTTTTGTACACTGAAACTGTTTTGTGTTAATGTTCTTATTTATTTATATTTATTCTGTAATATTGCTATTCTTTTATGTCTTTTTTTCTTTTAGAAATTGAGAATATGAGATGGATCCAAGGAACCTATGAAAGTTGATCCAATATTGATCCTATAATATTGCTATACTTTTATGTCGTTAAGCACAAAAATATGACATGGATCCAAGGAACCTATGTAATTGGAGGATGTCGTAGGAATTGGCGCGTATGTACTATATACTATGTAGTATTGATTCTTGAACCAAGTTATCTCTTCATATATTTTTATCACAAATTTGTTAGGTGAAACTATGCAAAATCCAATATATTTTATAATTACTTCGAGAAATATGTTTTTGCAAGGGAATAAAAAAGAAAATTAATATGTTAAGGACCAGCAGATGCCAATTGGAAAACTATAGACACAATAGAGGATTTATTTTTAATCTCTCAAAAACTCAAAATGACGTTCAAGAAAAAAAAAAAAAAAAAAAGAAGCTCAAATTGACGTGATCAATTTTTATAATGTTTTAACTCAAACCCTTCATTATTTGTTTGAGGAAACCATACTGAGGTTTAAACTGTTGAATTGCATTAGAAACCCATTGAAAATGTACTCATTAAAAATAAATTTATACACACATATATATTTATATCTGTATATGCATATTCAATCGTTTTTATTTTATTTTTTTTATCTTTAATTATATTAAATATTATTTTAAAATCATTTTCATTTTTTTTTTCTCAAAACACGTAAAAAGTAAAAACAATAATAATTTCAAACACGGTATATATATCCCTCCTAAAGTATAACATTTAATAGGGAAAACAAAGGCAACGGAATATATGAAATATCAACTGCCATACGCATGTCTGTAAGCATCAGTATGTCCTAGTTAGTTCAATAAAAGATTAGCTCAGCAAGCTTTTCCAGACCATACACTCTCTGCTGTCTGCCATCCTCATATCACAATGAGAACTTGGCTCCCAAAAAATCTCTTCCTATTTTAGCCCCTTCCTGCATCCTCCTGTCTACCATACATTTGAACCATGACTAAAACATTTTTATTATAATATTTTTTTTTATACAAAAATTTAAATCTCCGTCTAAACTTTTTGTTAAATCCTATATACACGTTACTAAAAATTACCGACGACTTTCACAATAGATCCATGGTCACAAATTTAAGCGCTGGATAATTCTGTTGTTTAAGGATTTTAGTGTGAAGGTTTGCATACACCAATTTAATATGAATTTAGAGCGTCTAAACTAGGCTTTCACTTATCAAACATCACTACCACTCAGATGAGTTGGGGTGATACGCTCCTCACTATAGCATAGAGCCCGACAATAAGATCTTCAACAATAGGGTCTTTAACAAACACATCTATTAGTGATAGAAGAGCCCTTTTAACAGTAATTAAAAAAATGTACTAACGTTAATCATAAGACCGGCAATATGGGTCACGACACGACGATACGACTCGAAAACGACACGAATTTTGCGGGTTAGGGTTGAGAAAAAAGAGGTTCGGATCAGAATTGGGTCGACCTGAAATTGACACGAAAAATACGGGTCAATTTCGGGTTGGCCCCGCCTAACCCGAACACGACACGAAACTCGTAAAAAACTAAAAAATACATATATTTTTCATTTCATATTTTAAATTTTATTATGAACTTGTGATATCATGATAGTTATACTCAAAATCTTATACTATTATTTGCTTAATTTCAATGGATGTTATTGTAATTTAGTGTGTTATGAATTTTAAGTTATTTCTAATATGTAAAAAACTAAATAAAAGTATACAATTTTCGTGTCAATTTTGGGTTCACGGGTCAATTTCGTGTCACGGGTCATTTTCAGGTCGTGTCGTGTCAGCTCGTAAAGTGGTCGTGTCGTGTTCGTGTTGCGGTTTTTAAAAAATTTCGTGTCACGGGTCGTGTTCGGGTTGATTAAAAATTTTAAAAAAAATGATCACAACACGACACATGACACGAATTGCCACCCCTAGTTAATCACCTCTTTTCTAAACTTTTTTTTTGTTCACATAAAATAATATTGGAGATTTTCTAATATTAATGTGTTAATAAATTAAATTTTTTTTATATAAATTTAAAAGGGATAAAACTTAAGCTACTAGCAACCGAAAAGGTCTCAATAATTACACTAATCAATAAAGATTATATAAATATATGGAAAGAGAAACTACTACCAGTACTGCATTGTTTCCCTTAAGACACTTTATTACCACTGCAGTCAACAACCAGCTTTTGCTCCCAACACACACAATATCTCCTGACCTTTCTCTTTTTTCACTCCCTCTTCTCTCCTTCTATACTCTTTCCGCTGTTCTTTTTACCACTTTCCTGCTCCAAACTCCCTCCATTTTAAGCTTTGTCGCCGTACTTCTGAAATTTGTCGGCTCAACCCCATTTCTTTCCTTCATGTGAAGCCAGGACTTCCCTTATATAACCCTTTTCCTTCTTTTACCCAAAAAAGTTCTTTTTCTTGATAAAGAATAATAATAATTTGAATCTCTCTGGTTTAATTTTTTTTTTTTTTTTTTGGGTTATATATTGAACCAAACTCTTTAGTTTTGGTATATACACGAGAGTTAAGGAACCACCACAATTAATCAATTATCTTTTGGGAGCCCCTCTAGTTTCCTTCAAGAGGTCAACGGAATGGACGGCGGTGATTCCGTCGTGAGCTCGGCATCAAAGGCTGATTCCGCGAGATCAACGGGCGCATGCAAGAGCCACAAGGAGGCCGAGAGGAGACGGAGGCAGCGAATCAACGCCCACCTCTCCACCCTCCGCTCTCTCCTCCCGAACACAACGAAGGTTTCGAACTTTCTCTTTAGAAGATTGAAATGCAACGCCGTTTCCGGTAAATTCACTTAAACTGCGTGTCGTTTTCTCACTCTTGTTTCGCAGACGGATAAGGCGTCGTTGCTGGCGGAGGTTGTGGAACACGTAAAGGAGCTTCGAAAGAAAGCGGCTGACGTGGAGCGTCAGCACGGGGGTCTATGGTGTGGCGCCGCTACTGGATCGGAGCCCGAGGCGTCGCCGTTCCCGGGCGAGTCGGACGAGGCGAGCTTGAGCTACTGCGACGGAGAAAGGAAACTCGTGAAGGCCACGGTTTGCTGCGAGGACAGGCCCGGTCTGAACCGGGACCTGGCCCGGGCGGTTCGTTCGGTCCGGGCCAAGGCTGTGCGGGCCGAGATGACGACGGTCGGAGGGAGGACGAAGAACGTCATGGTGGTGCAGTTCGGCGGCGGCGGAGGGGAGGAAGATGTGCGGGCCCTAAAACGGGCTTTGAAGGCCGTGGTGGAGAATCGGGCTTCGAGTTCTGGGCTGGGCCAAGTGGTTTCGAGGAATAAGCGGGCCCGAGTTTATGGTTCAATTAATGAGGGTGATTATGAACTCTTATTGACTAATATTTGACTCTTTTTTTTTTTTTGGGATAATCTGTGATCGCCACCAGGAGAGAGAGAAAGAGAGAAGGACAAGAATGTATAGTTTTAAGTCTTTTTTTTTGTTTTTTGTTTTAAAAAAAGCGAGGTGAGGTTGAGCTTTGAAATATTTCCTCGATTTTCTCAATTGTAAGAATGTCGAAGGGTTTGTTGCTTGGAAGTTTGTAAGCTTAACCTTTAGTTTTTGTGTAAAACCATCGTACAAATTAAGCTACCGTATAATATACATTATATATAGAGAGATATGAGCTGGTATTTCCGCGGTTCAAGGTTTATTTTCTTAGGCTATCAAGTGCTTGTCTCTTGTGTGGTTGAGATAATCAAGCTTTATATGTCTCGTTCATTTCACCGATTTATTTAAATTTTTAATTTTAAATTTTTACAGTAAAAAGTTATCAAAAAATATCACATTTAATTTTTTTTATTACAGTAAAAAATTCTCAAAAAATATTATATCTCAACTTAAATTAAAAACTCAAATTCACAAAATAAACAAGATGGGAAGAGTTGATCCTTGGGAAAGCAGGATCCTTGCATATTGATGAACAATATGATCCTAATAATTGCTTTCTTTTCTACATTCCTGTCATTGATCTCCTATGAGTGCATTGCTACCATTTAAATAATAATAAAATAATAATTATGATGATGATGGTGATGATAATTTGACAAAAAATTGTACTGGCATCTGGGTTTTTGATGGTTTCTAAGGATTCAAATTATCGTGGCATCGTTTACTTCACGAATTTGAGTTTTTAATTTGAGTTAAGATGTAATATTTTTTGAGAGTTTTTTACTGTAGTAAAAAAAGTTAATGTGATATTTTTTGAGAGCTTTTTACTGTAGAAACTTAAAACTGAAAACTCGAATCGGTGAAATGAACGAGGCCTATTGTTTGGTTAAACTCCCAAATAACATAGTGGAAGTAGCTCCTTCCTTAGAAAGTGAGCTTAGGGGTGACAATTTGTGTCACGTGTCGTGTTTTGATCGTTTCTTTTTAAATTTATAGTCAACCCGAACACGGCCCGTGATACGAAATTTTTTAAAAACCGCAATACGAACACGACACGACTACTTTACGAGTTGACACGACACGACCCGAAATGACCCGTGACATGAAATTGACCAGTGAATCCGAAATTGACACGAAAATTTTATACTTTTATTTAGTTTTTTATATATTAGAAATAACTTAAAATTCATAACACACTAAGTTTCAATAACATTAATTGAAATTAAGCAAATAATAGTATAAGATTTTGAGTATAACTATCATGATATCACAAGTTTATAATAAAATTTAAAATATGAAATGAAAAATATATGTATTTTTTAATTTTTTACGAGGTTCGTGTCGTGCTCGGGTTAAGCGGGTTTTTCGTGTCAATTTTAGGTCGACCCAATTCTGACCCAAACCTCTTTTTTCTCAACCCTAACCCGCAAAATTCATGTCGTTTTCGAGTCGTGTCGTCGTGTCGTGACCCATATTATCAGCCCTAAGTGTGCTACTTTCAAAAACTCTTTTCTTATTACTTTTTTTTTTTACTTTATTATTCAACGCAAATATCTAACTTGACGAGGGAAGTGATAAATTATTTTTTTTAATGAATTTTCACCGTTAATATATAAATTAATAAAAAGGATTGTTATTATTAGTGCCTTATGAAATTTAAGCTTAAACTTATTTTTGGTTTGACGTTAAAAATTCTCACTTTACTTTTTAAATATTTTCATTTAACTCATTCTATTGTAATTTTTGTTAAAAAAGGATTAAAAAAAGTAAGTAATACAATTATGTGGTCCTTTTTTTAAAATTTATGTTAAAAACAAATAGATAAAAACTATATGGCCACACTCAACTCATTTTTCTGCCTAATTTTTAAAAAAAAAATCTTACAAAAAGATTTAAATGTGATAAATTTAAAATTCAGGAGGCGAAGTTAGAGTTTTTAAAATTTGAGAGACAAAGTGAAAATAACTTTAAAATTCAAGAATATTAGTGAGATTAATCCATTAATAAAATATATAATTGATTGAAATATAAAGGATGAGCATATATACTATTAAGATCGTCCCAGTAATCAATACAAATGTTGTTTTACACGCAAAATTTAAACACTGTCACTTTTTTATTTTTAAAATTATTTGTTATAAGAAAAAATTGAGTTATAAGAAAAACTTTCAAAATGGCATAATAAAGGGAGTTAGAAATTGATAACGGACTAATACTTTGTGAAATTGTTCGTGTTTCTTTGTTGCCTGTAGCAGCGCCAACGTCAAGTTGGTAAAAATTAAAATCTCTTAATTTTCACATTTCTATTATTTTTATGTTCGACAACTATACTTTTGATCATTTTTCCCCTAATAATAAAAATCGCGCAGTTCTTTTTCATTAGTTTACCCCCTTCAAATTTTCTACATGTAATATCAGTTAAGATGGGTATTTTAACCCTTTTTATGGCATTATGAGAAATAAATTTATGCGAATTATTATTGATAGCTTATTGTAATTATGCGTTGTTATATTTGTGAGCGAAATCATAAGGCTGTTAAATTTGTTATAAGCCATTTAATTACGTTTATGAAGTGTTCATATATTTAATACGTAATTTTAAATGATATAGTATAAAATTATGGTTCACAATCGGTAAATAAAAATGTATATGTATTATGATTGTAATTTTTTGTAGGTAAGAATATAACGTCTGTATCGAATATCGATTAAGAAGAGTTTGAAAGTACAACAGACAGTTCTACTGGTCATAGACACTACTACGACCGTACAACATATTCGTCTATCCAAAGGTCATAGGCCTTGTTTGGCAGGGTGATTTTTGAGTTAAAAACTCAAAAAAAGTAACTCGAGTTATAATTTTATTCGAGTTCATGTTCTTTTAAGTTTGAACTTGAGTTTAAACTCGAGTTTAAACTTGAGTTTAAACTCGAGTTTAAACTCGAGTTTGAACTTGAGTTTGAACTCGAGTTTGAACTTGAGTTTGAAACTAAAACTCGAGTTCAAGTTTCCCCTTCAACTCGAGTTCAGAAGCTCAAACTCAAGTTAATGAACATTATTTTTTCTATTCTTAAAAATACTATAACTTTTTCGTTTTAATTCTGATTGAGATGTTTTTTTTTTCTATGCATTGACAACGAAAAGACGAATAAAACTATACCCATATACCCTATTAAAATTTTTCATTAGCATTGAGTTTTTATTAAAATACTATCTAAAAACAAATTCAAGTTTTGACTTATTCAAACACAAACTCAAAAAAGATTCTTATCTCAAACCATAACTCAAATGTACACAACCAAACACAAACTCAAGTTACAACTTCAACTCAAATTATAACTCAAACTCAACTTAAAATCTACACTCAAGTTACCTAACTCAAAAACATCAAAAGAACAAGCCCTAGTTAGCTGGGTTTTGTACTGCCTTACTAGCATATCCAAATACACGCCTAAACAAAATGCTTGGGAAAAAAGATGAAAGATTGTAACCGTACGTTTGGTTAAAGGATCCGTGTTATAGTTCGGATCATAATTTGTGGCTCGTTATAGTATTTTTTCTCATAAAAAATATACATAAATCAAAAATAATTTTGAATCATGATTCTGAATCCATGAACCAAATGATTCTGAATTAGAAAGAGTAAATTGCATTTCTACACCTTAAATTATTCAGTTTTTAAATGTTACTCAAATTTTAAATTTTGGCAAACTATACTATCAACTTTAAAATAAAATACAATTAAAGTCTAATAACTAATTATGTTATCAAATTAACAGTTTAAGACACAAGATTTACACATAACATGTTTGAAAAATGACAATATTTACATTTCATGTGCAAATTCCTTGTGTTAAACCGTCAATTTGATACCAATCGTTGATTATTAGACCTTAATTGTAACTGATTATAAAATTAAGGTGCAGTTTATCAAAATTAAAAGTTGGGGATGTATTATGAAAAAAAAAAACAAATAATTTAAGGTGTGATGGTACAACTTAGTTTTTTAGGAAAAAAAGCAGGCTAGCAGTGGAGAAGCAAGCCAAGCATAATTTGTAGATTGAACAAATACTATAATTGGAGTTTAAAAATTTTAAATTTTCATCCCTTGAAGAAATAAAAATGTCTCGCTTTGCCACTGAATCGAGCCCATTGGCCTAAAAAAAATTGTGCTTCATATCCTATGTGGCTCTATCTTGTAAGTTGATATATGTGTGTTTCTTTTTTTCCCCCCTTGTGATAATAAAAAAGTGTGGTCCTTGATTGAATTAAAGTCATAATTGTTAGGAAACGCGAGTTTTTATATTGTGAGTCACATATTTATTCAATAATTATATTAAATTATTTAATTAATTAAGTTAATTAAGTTATATAATTATGAAAAGTCTAAATAGTTTCTTAACAGGGTATGGGCTAAATGGGTGGATACCCATATTGACCAAATTAAGTTTAATAGGAGTCCAATGGGACAGTATATAAAGAAACTTAGGTTATGGTCCCCAATACGTCAAATCATTCGGCCGTTTTCCTTATTCCCCATCTAGAGAGAAAACACCCCATTAAGGAACTAAGGAGATTTGACTGAGGAAGGCAATAATCGTCGTGCTCATAATCTCAGAGAATATTACTGGAGATTCAAGGCTGCATTAATGGAGACAAGTATTTGTTCTAACTTATTTTCTTAGTAATTTGGTGTAGTGATTCCTAGAACGTGGAATAAGAATTTAAAGATCCTACAAGTGGTATCAGAGCGGTCATCACATTAAATTATTGAGAGAATTTTCATCTCCAATATCTCCGGTTGAACATCATTTGATTGATTCATATGATTTTTCTTTTGTCTATGGAATTTGAGATATGCTTTATTTTGTTAAGAAAATCATGTATATAGATAATCATATGAATTCTTGGTGATTGATTTCGATCAATATTTGTTGAATAATTTTCGGATTAATTGTTATTCACAAAATTAATTATCTGAAAAATTGAAGATTAAGAAAATTTGGTAAAAGAATTAAT